CCCCCCCCCCCGCCATCCTGCGTCTAGAGGCGGCATCTGCACTACGCACTTGCGTAACGCACTTTGGGATGCTCGGTGCAGGGAGCAGGGGCGCTCCGGTGAACAACCCTCCCCCTGGACAGCTGGCACCCAGCCGGCTTTCACTCAGTTCATGCTTTATGTTGTACCTATACTTTGTAATATATAGGCTTGTCATAGAATCATAGAATCATAGAATGGTCTAGGTTGGAAGAGACCCTTGGGATCATCGAGTCCAACCATCTACCCTACTCTACAAAGTCCTCCCCTACACCATGTCCCTTAGCACTGCATCTAAACGGCCCTTAAACACAGCCAGGGACGGTGACTCCACCACCTCCCTGGGCAGCCCGTTCCAATGCCCTATCACTCTTTCGGTGAAAAATTCCTTCCTAATGTTCAGTCTAAACCTACCCTGTTGGAGCTTGAAGCCATTCCCTCTCGTTCTGTCACTAATTACCTGTGAGAAGAGACCAGCAACAACCTCTCTACAGTGTCCTTTTACGAAGTTGTAGAGAGTGATGAGGTCTCCCCTCAGCCTCCTCTTCCTCATACTAAACAGCCCCAACTCCCTCAGCCGCTCCTCATACGATTTGTTTTCCAGCCCCCTCACCAGCTTTGTTGCCCTCCTCTGCACTCGCTCCAGCACCTCCAGATCTCTCTTGGATTGAGGTGCCCAGAACTGGACACAATACTCGAGGTGTGGCCTCACCAGTGCCGAGTACAGGGGCACAATTACCTCCCTATAAGGTAGCGGGGGGGGGGAGGTGGGGTGCACGAAGGGGTTCCCCGGGGGTGCTGGCGGGTGCCTGGGGGCTCCCCAGCTCCAAGGGGCTGAGTGGGAGAGACCTGCAGGCTGGGATGTGCTGCAGCACAGCGTGAGAAACCAGTGTGACGGGCGCGTAGGGAAGGTGATAACGTATCAGATGAGGTGTTTCCAGAAAGGAGAGATAGGGATGGACAAGTACTTACAAGACTTTATCTGAAATCCCATTAAATACTACATGACACTGCTAACCATGAGGTTTAGGTTTCCTTATTCTGCCACTGATATAAAAAAATGTGATTTAGTGTCCTGTTTGCTACCAAAGAGCTACTTAAGAAGTTCGCTTTGCCGTATAAGTGAGAACTAAAAGTAACAGAAATGGCTTTGTTCACTGTTTTCCCCTCGGGGCAGCGTGATGCCAGGTACAATCTCGTTCGCTACGCAAAGCAATCGCAGAGATCTGATCTGGTGAGGCTGATGCTATTTCTCAACCTTCAAAACTGTTACTGTGTGCCACTAATTAAGTGGTAAACAAGTGGCATTAAGAGAAGGTGGGTTTTGTTGTGTGTTCTTTTGTTAAAGTTTATGGGGTTTGCTGCTGGGCTGTTTATGGGGTTTGCTGCTGGCCTATGGCTAAGATCTGGTGGCTCTTGCTTTGAGGCCATCTCAGTGATGCTTGAGATGAAGCATCCTTGGGTCACTCCTGGTGACCTCTCCGAAATGAGTCTTACCAGTGTAGTGTCTGCACCCAAAACCTCACACTGGGACAGCAGCAAAATGAACAGCTTGTGGACAACGAGCCAATTCCTTGCTGGGTACATGGGCACGAACCAGCATCCCGTTTGCGTGGACACAGCAGATGAAGCTTGTAGGGTGTGCTGGCTCTGAGTGCAGCGTGACAGACTCCATGAAACATCTGTGCTTCTCACGGGCAGCTCCCACAGCTAAAGACTGGCTGAAGTTGCTCCTGTGCCATTAGGAGGGACCATCCCCAAAGAGCTTGGGAGCCCATGGGTGTAGCATGGTGTGCCTGTCCTCAGCCATGGCACTGGGCCACCTGGGGGCCCTGCCCCTCTCCCTGCCTGCCTCTTTGGGGGCACGTCCCCTTCTGTGGTGGAGGGATGAGCTGGGCTGAGGGAGTCACCAGCTGAAAAAGGAGTTTATTTTGCCAGTGACTCTGCAGAGGCGAGAGCAAATGGCCAGGGGTGGTGTGGAGCTGTGGCTGATGAAGGTTTTGACCTTGTGCTCTGAGGGTTTGACCGCAGCCTGTTTGGCCGTAGGCACTGATGTTGTTTGGCTCGTGGCTGTGCTCACACGGCAGAAGAAGCCAGATGGACACACACCTCCCAAAGGCAGCGGGTACCGCAGTGAACCCAGAAGCTGGAGCCAGCCACGGGGTGGTTGTTCTCACATTTACGACTAGCACTGCTTTTTGCAACTAGGTGGGAACTGTGAGACAAACAGCTTGTGTTGGTAAATCGCTGACTTTTCTGTGCAACAAGCTGCCTCTTAAAGGTGTGCTTTTGCAGGTGAGATGAAGTTTTCACGTTCTCTGCAGCTGGGAAGTGGTTCATTCAGCTCATCGCTTCACCCTGCCAGAGGTGACTGTCACCACAGGTCTGCCTGTGAAGCTGGTCATGGCTGTCTCTACCTGTCTCCTCAGCCTGAAGAAGAGGAGGCTCTGGGGAGACTTAATAGCAGCCTTCCAGTACCTGAAGGGAGCCTACAGGAAGGCTGGGGAGAACCTGTTTAGAAAGGCCTGCAGTGACAGGATGAGGGGCAATGGCTTCAAGCTGGAGGGGAACAGATGTAGACTGGAGATGAGGAGAGGGTTCTTCACTGTGAGGGTGGTGGAGCACTGGAACAGGTTGCCCAGGGAGGTGGTTGAGGCCCCTTCCCTGGAGATATTCAAGGTGAGGCTCGACGAGGCCCTGGGCAACCTGGTCTAGTTGGGGGTGTCCCTGCTGACTGTGGGGAGGTCGGACTAGATGGCCTTTGGAGGTCCCTTCCAGCCTGGACAATTCTATGATTCTATGATTCTATAAAGCTGCTGGGTCAGCGGGGACCTCCCTGCACAGAGGGAGGTCCCAGGCATGCAGCAGTGGGACCTGAGGCCACTGTGTTGCTCTTCTGGCACCGGCTGGTGTCTTCTGAACCACGGAAGGCCATAAAGGAATGCAAACTGTTTCAAGGGCCAGATGTAACTGCTGCCATGAAAGTTGTTCTTTTAATATTTGAACACATTTTAATGATGCTTTAAAAATGCTCTTTCCTCAATTGATATCTTTAAAAGGCACTTATACAAACAAAGCTGCGCAGGTGGCACAGGGGCAACCGGGATGTGACGCTTTCGTTCCCAGCTCACACAGCGAGAACAGGGCCTCTTTCTTCTGCTGCTGTTTTTATGGATGTTGACTGCAGAACTGATGCTTGCTTAGTCTTTGATGTTAAAAAACACTTATGCAGAAGCTTTGTTTTAAACTTACAAATAGTTGTGCTCCTTTCTAGCTTGAAGCAGAGCTCCTATAGGTCCTGGTGTACTATAGGAGCCCGCATTGGGTCTGTAAGTGCAGCTTTAGCTTGGTAGAATACCTGGTGCCTGAGTGGATGGTGGGTGAAATGGCCAGAGTGTTTTTGCCAGTGATCTAGCAGCGAGTGGATATGACTTACACCAATCCTGTAAAAATACTTGCAAAAGCATTCTTGGTTATCAGAGCACTTGCTCCACACAACACGTTTAGCTTTAGCTATAGCTATTGTTAGGGTATTTTTCAAAAAGGCGTTTACAAATAACTTTCCCACAGTCTCTTTATCACCCTGATGATCCCTCACTGCCTTGCTTCACTCCTTGGGAATTAGGTGCGCTTGCCAATTGATAGAAGATGAAGGTTCAGCGTGTATATGGATGCTTCACACTTGTCTTTTGACACACACTATCTTAGCAAATGGAGAAGGATTTGCCTTACAATAGATTACAGGTTTGCTGATAATCAGGTGGTGTTTGCCTTAAGACAAGACAGGGCTGCAGGGGCCCCGCCAAGTCCTGCTGCTGTTTCAAGGGCTGGTGTTTCCAGAGGGAGGAACCTCACCAAGGAGGATGGTTAGAACTGCCTCCTGATTGAATTCAGGATTAATAACTCTTGTGTGAGAAGTAGGACAGGATTTAATCTAAAGGAGGCAGTGGTTTGATTTATTGTGCATTGCTGCTGAGAGAGGGAAGGCTTTTTCCCTTCGCCTGCTGTTCCTCCGTGAGCTGCCTGCTCCTGTCGGTCTCCACCCCTCACTGACCCAGGAGAAGCCTGCTGGCTTGCACCTTGGAAGAAATGAAAGCAAAGCAACGAACAAAACGAATGAAACTGGAACAAAAGGAAAGTGAGCAAGAAAAAAAAAGGAGACGAAAGGTCGAAAAGTTAACTTTTCTACTAGACTAGTTGGAACAGCCAAGATTTGTAAGGGAGAGAGTTCATGTGGTCAAATAAATAAATTTTAAAAAGCATCTTACCAGCAGCGTGAGGTGCCGATGAACCAGGTTTGGGGGTTTGGGTGCTCCCTCTCCTGTGTTTGCCCCTCTCTGCAGGAGATGTCGGTGTCAGTGCCATGGCTGAGGAACCGTGTTGGGATGTGGGTGGGTTTGCTCGACCAGGGTTGCGACGTGCCATCCCTCTGCCCTCATCCCTCACATTTACCAGCACAGCCCCAGCTGCAGGATGGCCTTAGGGCCATGGAGGCCCTTCTGTCCTGAGCAGAGGAGCCAAAAACCCTCCCAGTGCCTTAAAAACAGTCCTATACAATAAAGGATGCGTAAAACCAATAACCTAGACCCTGCCATCACTTCCCTT